CGCGCGGCCAATATGCAATGTGTCTTGCATTCCTCCCTTCCCTCCCTTCCCTGCATGGCTTGGTGGATAGATGGCGTAGGTGGTCGTGTTATTGGGGGGGGGGGGGGTTATGCAGCATGTGGAGGTTGTTGTCGTGGTGAATGAGGAGTGGGATGTTGAATGTGTAAATTTATAACGAATGTGGAAGTTTGCTCTTTTTAGGTTGAATGTGTGAGGAATTTGATGTTGAATGTGGAGATTTTTTTAAGCTCAGAGTTCAATTTTTATGCTGAAAATGTGTAGAAATATTCTGGTTGTTGGTCGTGAGTGATATTTCTTTGTCATTCATGTTTCAGTATTGAGCCGGTCATTTTTCAGTTCGGATATTTAAAGCTGCCTTTCTTACCATAACACGGCGAATGAAGGTTGTTGAGGCGTTCAGTAATAAAAGAGTAATTAACTAATGCAACAACCATTTACGTCCCTTATAACGAACACACTGGTTAGGCTTCAACGGGAGCACAGACCTCTTTATTAATTTGTTCTCGAGAATTAATAAGCGTTCTTGAAAATGGAAGCTATCGTTTTGATGTCAAATGCCGATTTTTCTCCGTTGAATATCCATATCATGTCATGCCACTCTTGCCAATTAAAAAACGTATTCTAGAGCGCAGCCCCTTTATGAAGTTAAATGCAGGCGAGGTCTATACGAGTAACTCCCTCGAATACAGCAGCCTTTCAACCCCTTCATAGCAAATACAAGATACAACAGCAATACAAGAGGCCGTTATTTCCTCGCGTCCGAGATTTAATACGCGCTGTTAACCTAAACCGGCGCCTCCGAATCGTCTCCTTTAAGAGCTGTCTCGGGCCTCGGCTAAAGGACTTCTGTTCCATATTTCAGTACGAATGAGAGGAAACGCGGAAGTTGGGATTCCGAAGGAAGTGGGGTCTCGGGTGACTAGTAATGAGTTACTGGGTAATGGGTTACTGGTAATTAGTTGGTAATAGCCGGTGCTAATAACGGGGTGGGGTTCATAGGTGACAGATAACGGTAACTACCAACTGCATCATGAATTTGGGCAGATTAGTTAAAGGCAAGGGACAGGAAGTAACTGATAACGGGTATAGAGATAACATGCGTTGTTTAAAAGACGACACACACACACACACACACACACACACACAACACACACACACACACACACACACACACACACACACACACACACACACACACACACACACACGTATATTTATTTATTTTTCAAAACAAGAAATAAACAGGCCGTACTCTCCACCGATATATTCTAAATGAATTTCATATAATTTTATCATGATCTGATACCGTGATGCCAACTCGAAAAAAAAAACGAACGATAAAACGGTAAATGCATATATTTAACAAAGTTTCTCCTGCAATTAATAATCCTGCTGTTTTTTCCTATGTTCAAACAAATGTTACAGCTGTGGATTAACCTGTCAACTGCCAGGATTTATGATAAAGTAACTGCATATTTTTTTAGACATTATTTTTTCGAAGGCAATAGCGACGATAGATGGTTGGCTTAATGTCATTTTAATGTTATTGTTATAACTGATAGATCGTAATGGCGATTGGACCATTAGAAAGTATCTATTTGGGAGTGATGATAGTGTTATAATTTTGGTGTGTTTTGTGTACAGTTCATATGTGATGAATGGGTATGTTTACTGGTGATGAATTGAGGCGCTGAGAATAGCACAGGCCTGTGTGTGTGTGTGTGTGTGTGTGTGTGTGTGTGTGTGTGTGTGTGTGTGTGTGTGTGTGTGTGTGTGTGTGGTGTGTGTGTGTGTGTGTGTGTGTGTGTGTGCGTGTGCGTGTGTGTGTTTGTCCTCACCGCCTCAATTGGTCAATTCTTCATGATAAAGCGATGAGTGATGATTTTGCAAGTGAGGTTGAATGAGCGATCACGTGGTATGCCGTTATGTTATGTTTGTTATGATTACTTGAATTATATGATGTTTATCAATATTTTGATTGTTATTTGATGTTGGTTATGAGTATGATTATTTGATGTTTTTGTGATTATATTAATTATTTGATGTTTGTTATGATTACTTAAATAATTAGATGTTTATCAATATTTTAATTGTTTTTTTGACGTTTGTTATGATTATAGTTATTTAATTATTTGATGTTTATTATGATTGTTATTTGATGTTTGCTATGATTATGTGAGTGATGTCTAATGATGGAATCAGTGACATATAGACGGTAGATAGATTTATAGACTAATTTATGAATAAATCGATAGATAGATTAATAGACTGACTATAGATCGATGGATAGATCGGTAGATACAGATGTAGGTGGATAGATATGTAGATGTGTAGATAGATACGTAGAACACTATACATATAGATATTTAAAGATATTGGTGTGGAATCGTTGATGATATTTATGTTTATGTTTATAGGTAGTATAGATATGTAGGCATACAGACAGACATACAAGCAGTATATATGTATATGTCCGTAC